TAATACGATCTATATAAAGGAACTGCCGTTCCTCGATAAATCCGAGTTGATTTACTTCAGAGCTGATATTAGATGTGGTCCAGAGCTCACAACAGAAAGGAGCGATCCATTTGCAAGTTCCATAAATTTATATGTACATTTTATTTATTCTATTTAATATTGTCAAGTTTTATCACATCTCTTAACGTCAATAAAAAAGTCTTAATGTTTATTCTAACAATTTTACATCAACTTCTAATTATAGACAACGCAGTATTCAACCATATTATTAAGTTTCATAATATTCTATAAAGTCTCGTCTTATCCGGTTAAATATACCTTCCAATTAATTTACACTCACATTATAATAATTTAAGAATGTTTCAATCATCTAATATGTATCTCCATTATTCGCATTTGAAATATTCTACAGATTTTCTTATAATTCAATTTTACTTTATAACAATTTCAAATCGAAATGATCAAATGCCCAATATTATCTCACACTACCATAAAATTTACATAATCTTTTGAGAACATCTGGCAACGTCATTAAAAACTCGTGATGCATGAGTTTCATATTGAAAAGTTATAAACATTTAAAACTTTGAAGAAATTTTACATACGCCGTAGGAGATTATGTTTTCTCGAGTATTGCCAATTTTAAATGTAATTACAAAAGTCTTTATAAAATTTTATTGCGTTTTATCTATTTTAGAACACAATTTTATTGAATGTTTATTTAGATTTATTATATCTAAATTCATATCATAGATAAGTATTTAATAATAATGATGCACAGACGAATCAATGTTGTCAATGTAAATTAAACAAGAAACACAAATTATAATAATGTTCGATAACTTTTCTTGATGATTTTACAAGTTAAATAATTCAGTAGATTGTTTGCAGGCCAGGAAATGAAACGATAACATAAATTCATTAAATTTCTGTTAAATGCTAATTTTCTTCACCTTAATTAGCATTCAAAACATTTATTTTGCCAAACTCCGAAATAATCTTAATAATTATCTTCAACATCTTCGAAGAACTTTTTAAAACCTGTTCATATCGTAACAAAGTTAAATGATCATGTTTTTCCATAAAATAATTCGCCTTAAAATCCGCGATCCCAGATTTGGGAAAAATAACGCCTCGCCTTATTTAATTTTCTCGAGGCGTTCGTATACTTCGCCACACCCTCGTCGAAAGACAAATAAATTAACTTAAATTAGTGCTGTTATCTTACACTCTGATGGTATTTAGTGGCTCCCCGAGAAGGGACTTAGACCCTCACGTTAATCACCCGTGCGTCTAAGGATGAAGACACATTTAACGGTTTTCAGCAACGGCAGTTTGTCTTTATATAGAAAAGATCAGAATAAATATAAATATTACCCTCGGATATTGCTAAATTATTCCCAAAAATAATGATCAATCGCTGAAAATAACGTTCTCATTCGTTTAATTATTTTCTAAAAATAGCCAGGGCAAAATAGAAGTTATTTCTCTTCAGATTTAATTAGAAAATATAATATCATTATATGACATTTTCTTCGGAGAGTCATTAGATGGGATATGAGTCAAAATAATGCCGAAAATAGATAACCAGATATTGTGATCAATGACAGAAAAAATTCACTCCGTGATAAGGAAAGAAGTAATGATGAAATCCAAATTTATCATCAAAGAATCTGTTTCTATTGTTTCACAAAATAGCAAAGTTTTTTTGTTGGTATGTATTTATTTATTATCAATCAGAATATATATTATTTTTCAAGTATATTTGCAGGTCTTTGTGCCTTTAAGGGGCACAACTAGTATAACCGCCTAAAAAAAGGTGATTTTTGGGAATTTATATTAAAAAAACTACTTTATCAATCATTTTAAAATTTTAGAAATATATTTATACATGCTTTAAGAATACATAGTAAGAAAATTAAGAAAAAAATTAAATATTTTTTTAGTTATCGTCGATCTTCATCGGCGCGACAAAAAAGGCCCTTAACTGCTGCAGTGATTTCGGCCTTCTACGTGGATGAAATAAAAAAAAAACTCGTTAAACTAGATAATATTGTCTGTAAAATGAACTACGATAAAAAAAATAAATAAAAAATTGACAAAATGGCGGCGTTTTAAAAAAAAGTCGAATTTTACCCAAAATTTTGGTCGTTTTTCGACTGCCAAATTTCGATTTTTGATCCGATCAAATAATCGATAGTTTATTTTACGGAGAACTATATACAGAACATGTAAAAAAAATTGATAGTGATCGGATCATTCGTTTTTGAGTAATCACTGCAGCAAATTCGGAAAATGCTGTTTCGAGAAAAACGCTTTTGAAGATAAAATGATCGTTGTACTATATACTATATGTATACTTTTTAAATGGCTGACAAAAACTATTTGAGATATCGATCTGAAATTTTAATATGTTATTTTTAATGGTGTAATCTACCGAAATATGGAAAAAAACAAAAATCGATTTTTTCAAAATTTCACACTAGTTGTGCCCCTTAATAGATTTATCTCTAATGAGATAAAAAGCAAAGATAAAAAATAAAATATAATTAGCATTATTCAATAGGTCATAGTCAATAACTAACTTGTATTCTTAAATATTATATTGCGAACTATTTATTTTGTTATTAGCACATGCACGAAATTTAAATAAAAAAAGATCATTGTCTGAAAACCATTATTTTAAACTAATCAATTAAATTCATTTAAGTACAAATAAGATCTTTTTATAAGCATTCATTTTCGCATTTATTTTTCAGAAAGAAATTGGAGCGTGTATTTCGCGTTTCATAGAAAACAGCTCACTATCAAAGTGATTTTTCCCAAATCCGTTGTATATGACATCATCCTAAATTAAGTCAAATTAGTGCTGTTATCTTACACTCTGCTGGTATTTAGTGGCTCCCCGAGTTGGGACGCAGACCCTCATTTTAATCACCCGTGTGTCTAAGTGCGTTTATAACGAACGGGTGATTACTAGAAAATTTATAGGCGCTGTTGAGAAACTACCGCTAATCTTGAAACTGACAGACGATGTTCTACTTTAATTACAGCTAATGTTTCCACACAGAGGTATATGTTGTACCTTCGTATATCTTTGCACGTTAATACCCAGGAAGCACTATTATATTGTAAAGGATTTGTGCTAAAGCTTGCTCAAAGTTCCATTGCATATGGTGTTTTGCTGGATTAGCTATTAACACAAATTCAGTTCGAAACGAAACATATTATTGAGAAGACCACGGTCGGATCTCATTACTCAAAATATTGACTTTGAAGTAATATAACGCGTTATATTTAATTCACAAACTTAGTATTATAACCAAACGCAAAAGTTTATGCAATCCAAAATAAATTTGTAGACTTCTAAAGGGCTTGCAATGCTAATAAAAAATCGCCACGCTTGCAATTACACAAAAACACAATAAGGGTGATAAAATATCCTGAATGTGGTAAAGCCACACCAACCAATTAAATGTTGAAAACAAGTCCATTAGTTTTTAAAAAGCAACGTATTTCATGCCTCAAACGAAAAGATTAAATCTTATCATATGGTCATTAAAGTAGAGCAAATGTATTTATCATATAATCCAACGTATCAATTTCTAATACGAATCAATTACATTTTTTTAAACGACACTTTCTTTTACAATATTTTTTTGTCAAATCCAGATAATATATCTAGAAAAGTCTTCCTACTACAAATAATTCGTAACAGTGCACTATATCTGCACTCACTCCTCGAAGGATTTACTTAAGCTGTAGATAGATCTGCTGAGTTTGTACGATGTATTTGTAGTATTTACTTAATTAATAGCACATCCATATAATAGTTTAATTGCTTACAATAAGATAATAATGATTCGATTATATATCGATCTTCGAATGTGTATTTAATAATTAATCGTATTTGGAATATCTCACATAGCGATATTAATAGATAACGGGAAACAGTCTAGTATATATATATATATATATATATATATATATATATATTAGGGTGGTCCTTAAAATGGTCATTTTCGAATTTCCTTGCTCCCAGGGGCTCAAATAGTTCTGAATTGATAAAAAGCAATTCTCTGAAAGTTTTAACTCTTAATATTAACGTTTTGATAGAGCGCAATTCAATCAAAGTTTTGTATGGAAAAAGCATGGAAAAAAATTTGAAAATTAAAAAAAAATGTTTTAGGTATAACTTAGCGACAAATGAATGAGTTTTATTCATTCATTTGTTCGCTAAATTACATCTAAAAACATTTTTAAAATTTTTGAAAATTTTTCCATGCTATTTGCATACAAAACTTTGATTGATTTGCGCTCTATCTAAAAGACAATATTAAGATCTAAAACTTTCAGATAATTGTTTTTTATCTATTTGGAACCATTTGAGCCCCTGGGAGCAAGAAAATTCGAAAATTACCAATTTAAGGACCACCCTAATATATATGTATATATTAAAATTTGAACTATATATTAAATGAACTTGAATATAAATATTGAAATTTGAACAAAAAATTATAAGGAAAAGAATCATAAAGTTTAAATATTATGAGCTTTTAAATGCAACCCTGAGCTAAGGTTAAACTGTGACCATTTTTCAGTTATTGCAATTAATTTTTATTATTTTAGTTTATTTACACTCTAGAACCGTAACCGTAAATAAAATTTATAGGATATCAGTCAAAAATAATGCCAAATCATCAAGACTGTGTGTAAGTGCGTGAATTTGGTAGTCCTAAATTTTAATCTATAAAAATTAAATGATTGAGTCGATAATATTACAAATTATAAATTTGCCTCTAGTAAAATTATATATATATATATATATATATATATAATTTTATTTCTAAACCCCCGTCTCAATAACAAATTTCTATTATAGTGAAGTCATAGACAATCTTAATCAAAATCCTCTATCCTTTATCCCACAAGATAATTGGAAAAAAATCCGTCACCGTTACAAAAATTACCATCAACCGGATATCTTTCTAATTTCACAGAACCCACAACGGAAATCGCTGGAGAGCCGGATGTGTTCATAAATCGTGGTTCCATAATTAACCTGCTGTGCGAAATCAGATACGCTCCGCAACCTCCGCCTCACGTCACCTGGTCGCACGAGGGGACGGTCAGTATTAATCAAAAATTAAATCACCATTATTAAGTGTTGATTAATGGTTTTGAAAACTTAATTGTGTATTTCGTGCTGCATATTAAACATTTGAAATTGGAGCCATGGTGCAATATTCGTTCCAACAGGGACGATAACTATTTTTGCACGTAGCAGTTGCAGAAAAAAATATTTGAATTTAGTGTAAACTAGTATAACTAAATATTTCTTTATTCTTGAAAATTGTATGAATACTTGTATTTATTTGTGACTTTTAATTGTAATTATATCATAAAAATCGAAAGAAAGAAAGAAAGAAATTTTCCGTTTTCAATGCAGCATGAAAGTCAATATATGCTTTGATTTAATTATGCCTCTTGTCTAAAATAGAAATTAATTTCTATACTAACATATCAAACTAAAACAAATTGAATAATTTCCGTTCTTTTGAAAAATTTTTTGCTCAACACAAACATAGCTACAAATATAAAACTTGCTCAAAAAGAAGAATTTTGAAACTTTGATCAAAATCATAAGAACTTAATACGAATTGAAATCGTATAGAGGGAAGTCTCCGAGTGCCGGACACCTAAGGTTATTTATAAATCAATCAAAAAATATTTTACGAAATGTTTATTAAATTATGACTTATGTTAGATAACAAAGTTAGAAATCAAATTAAATTAACAAAAAAACAATCTTTGCTAAACAATAATTAATACTATCAATCAAACTTTGGTAACAAGAAATATGATTTTACAATAAGTGGCACCTAGTACCGGACATTTCAAAAATAATCAGTATTGAACACATAGGTAGCCATCTCCACACTCTGGAGTATCTGCACATGTGTGTTTGACGAATATATATCTAACAATATTCTACCATTTTACGGATAACAATCAAGTACTACTTTTATATTGAATGCCACTCAAATATAAATGCATAAATACACTAGATTACTTCCATTGATATTTAGGTGACGCCGTGATTTTGCACCTAAAACAGCAAAGGATTGCTCCCGCCGTGGCCGTGTGCGTCACAGGTGAGTCTTGGCGGGTGTTTCTGCACCTGTGTGCCCCCCGCGCCCTTTGACTTTTATTTTGATATAAAAAGATTTATACTCGCTAGAATAATACGTGTTAAATAGAGTGTCCGGTATTAGGTGCTGTCCGGCGTTACGGGACTTCCCCCTACAAGTTTTAGATTCAATGGCGTCTCGAGCCGGAACGTCGTTGTGGTATATCCTTTTTGGGCCGGAACGCGTACCGGCAAAAATGAAATTAAAAAAAATCGTTGGATTTTTTTTCTAATTTTTGGTGAAATGCAAGCCGCCCACAAACCGTTCGTTACTCATTCTCGGCATAGTTTATTGCCATACCCAAAAGGGCATACATTTAATAATTTTCATTATACATTTGTTGTGAACTAATATTTCCATACGTTAATTTCCAGTTTTGGTAGATGTTTTAAACTTTATTAGTTTTTAAGAGTGATGCTAAGGAAAATAGCGACAAACGAACAGGTTTTCATCTGAAATCTTCCATTTTGGGCAGGAACGTGTTCCGGAACTAAAAAAGATTTCTGATACTAAGAATTGGCTGTCGTATTGAAAAAAAAGCTGCTTTTTTTTCTTTTTGACGAATTTTTATGTGTATTATTATAAACAAGGGTTTGATCCAAACCCAAACCGGAACGAACCGGCTTGTTTTTTTGAACCGCAAACTGGAGTCCGGAACGTTTTTTTCTTCTGCTGAATTGGCATTCGGACCGAACCGGAACAAATACGAAAACCGGTTTTTGAACCGATTTTAGTTTAAGCGTTCCGGTAAAAAATATTAACACCACTGCAAAGATTATATATGTTGTTGTATTTATGTAATACTACGTGGTATTGTAAAAATTCTGCTTTATATTATTATTAAGCAGTAAACTTTCCATTGAAGGCAAAAATTGTATGCAAAAAAAAATATATCTATTATATACAAATGAAAGCATATACGCATAGTGACGGAACTAGAGCACCCGTAGGCGTCGACGGAATTTTTGCGAGGCTCCTTTTTCCCAGTCCAGAAAACGTTAAATTGCATAAGCCAAATTAGAGTTAACTAATTTAACTGATGTTAAAAAACTAACAATGAAATGATAAATAACATAAACTTTGCCAGGCCCTTGAATAGCAAGACCGCCGGCGTCGCTAACGCCTATCACCGCCACTGAATTCTCAACGGATGTAACTCTTTACTTATTGCTTATGACAATTGTTACAAAAAATAATCAAATTACGAAAATATATGTAAAAATTTAAATCTAAATTATATTGTATTATCAACTTACCTGAATCTATAAACGGCAATTCAGTATCCAAAATACAAACATTACCACTGGCACTGACACTAATAAGTCATTTTATGTAATATGCATTTAGGTCATTAACTATGATTCACCACGGGGCGGAATTTCTTCTGTTACGGAAAAAGGAATATTTACCACCAGCCGTTTGCTAATTCAACAGGCAATTGGGAGCGACTCTGGGGTCTATAGTTGCACGCCTTCCAATGCTCCTAATGCAACGATACGAGTTCATGTTGTGGATGGTAAGTTTATATTAATTTCTGACACAAATTTCTAACGCACATGTTGCAAACACTAAAAAATAAACAATTGCACTTTAATTTATTTAATCTCTGCACATTTTAGGATAAATTTTATGATGAAACAATTACAGCAATGGTTGATGACTGACATTAAATAATGTGAACTTGACAACAATCCAGTCAGATTCCATCATCAACAACTTATAATGACAGTTGCAATAATTTGTTACTACGATTCTTACTTGAACTTGCAGTTTCACTACAATTCGAAAACAATTTATATTTTGCTTATTATAGATATATTATTATTACAATTGAATATTATTGCATTTTTATTATGAGAAAACGATTTATGACTTTTGAGACGGAATATCAAATTAAAAATATATAAACCGCAATTGTTGCCAACTTAATGGAGCGCACAATTTTTTTTTTATTTTGCAGCACTTGAAAAAAAAAAAAAAAAATAAAAATTTAAATATATAAATTTAGAGTAATTGTTTATCACATATTTATTATAAGTATTTTCAAATTTATATTTCTAAATTTGATTTGCAGCAGGTACCAGCAGCTGTTCAAAGTTTGGCCGTCCAGAAACTACAGTCATATACAATATTGTCGATATGTTGCATTTTGTCCATTATCAAATTAATGTTAAAAAAATAAAATAACTATATAAATATATATATACTAAATACCAAAGGTGTGAGAATGATTGTGATACGTTTTTGTTGTAATAAGATAATTTACGATTTTGTAAGATTTGATTATATCATATAATGTTATCATAAATATGTATATGAATAAAGAGACATTTTTATTTATATGGTGTATTGATTAATAATTATCAAATAAAAAAAAATATTACAAAATATTTATTTTTAATAATTTAACATTATTCAAAATATGATGCTATAAACATGATTTATTCTCCCTCAATGGCAATGTCTGTAACAGCTTCAACATAAAATGGTCCTTCAGCAATATACAACTGCAGTCTTTGTCTCAATTCTAAATCTAAATCAGGAATTTGATTTAATGCAAAAATTATGTCAAACTTTGCTTGTTTTCCATCTTTAAAGTTCTCTGTTCGTCTGTCTAGCAAATATTCTATGATACCTGAAGCAAGATATAATAAAATAATAATTTGTTAAACACATCTTCCAAAGAAATTATTACCTGGATTATTTACAATCAAATCTGCACCCCATAATTGACAAGCAATAACTTTCAAAATACCCCACGCTGCCAATTTAATATCCGGGAATGGTTTTCTACAAACATTGAAAATGAAGTCAACTGGGTTTTCACACAATGTGTTAAACCATTTTTGTGTAATAGATTGTATTTCATTATTCGTATCACTTGGATCAATTTCAACTAAATGTTTTAAACAATCCAATGCTCGAATCCTAATTTCGGTTGATCCGCTATGAATATAAAATCCAATTTTCTTCAATGTGGCAACCATATTTTCATCTGCATAATTTGAATAATTAAAAAATTGATCAAGAATTTGGTTTTTTGTATTATAGCATCTTTAAACATACGGTTATTATTTAAAGCAAATTTGCCGTCTCTTGTTGCACCTAAATATCCTATAGTATCCAATGATACAAGTAGCAATGTTTCATCATAGCTATTTTGAACAATATCAAAAATTTTTGAAAGAATGTTCTTATATTGAGTCAACATAGATGTCGGTCTGGTATGAGCAACTCGACCAAAGAATTTTAACAATCCTAAAAGATTATTTCATAATAACATCAGGCTTTAAAAAGTCCTCATTATTAAAAAAGTAAATTAGATACCTGGTAAAATTAGAGGACTCAATGGATTTTGATCTATATTTTCCACTTGTACAGCAAAATGTTTAAATATGCCTTTATTCTCTAAGTAATTAAAACCGTGGTCAGACATAGCTAATTGTGTTAGCAACTCAATAACATTTAATTGTACTAATTCATCTTTGTAAATCTAATTCACTTAACATTTTTGCTAAGAATGATGTAGATTCGATTTTATTTTATTGAAATTATCTTTAGATTTTGTTGCCAACTGTATCAGTATCTATCAAAATTATAAAAATTAATATAGTTCAGTATATTAAATGCAAGACAAATAATATATACCTCATAAACTCTAAATCTTTGAATTTCACCACGGTTCATAACATTTTGCAAACCAGATAATATCTGGTGATTACTTATCCATGGCATTATTATTAAACATAGAATATTTACAGCAACATGTGCTACACTTAAATTATCATGTCCCACACAATCTACGATTTTTGCAATGGATTCTCTCGAGATACATCATTGAAATAATTACCATCGATTTCAGCTGCTCTTAGAATCTAAAACATAACTCATTTGTATAACATCCTAATACAAACTCGTTAATATTGCATATACTAATTGTAAGCAGACTTAATAGGAATAATTTTTCAAATATATTTTCGATTTCATATGAGTAATGAAATAACAAAGTATTATAGTTTTTAATAAAACTCTTCATTTATTTATATTTAAAATTAGTACTTTGAAACATTACCTCTTTCAAAGACATTTGACGAACAATGTCATATTTGTGTGTTAGTGACTTTTCTAATGAACCAGGATACTTTACCAAACTCTCTCCTAATGATAAGTTTTCCATACAAATTGTTAAGATTTCACAGGCCAGATCAATTTGTTCCTCATTCCTATAAATTTATGTACTTTATTTATTTATTTGATTTATTACATATGTACAATTTGTTATCGAACCCCACAAGGATTGATACGATCATGTGATTATACTAAAATTTATGATCATATCAAGTCGAGATCAGTAGACATAATTATTGATGTGTTTAAGCACAGTGTTTAACTTTATAAAGAAAGATG